CACACACACACACACACACACACACACACACACACACACACACACACTCACCATACACAGAGAGACATTCTCTGCTTTCTCTTTCTACACACCCGTTTTCTCTCTCCACATGTGCACATACATTCTTTCTCTACTCTTTCTGTATACATATGCTCTCTCTCTCTTGCACACACCACACACACACAGACACACACACGCAAATGCAAATGCACACACACACAGAAACACACAACAAGAAGCAGGAAGACCATTATTTGTGAACCAGAAAGACCAGGGGAACTATTCCCAGGAATGGGGATAAGTGGCAGGATGACCTTGACCTTCTGACATCCCGAGCGGGAGGAACTGAATATTGTTTAAGCCTATGGTATTCTGTGACAGCCAAGGTGGCTGAGACCCAGGCGTCCACAATCGAGACTACCATTAGCTTAGAGATTCGACTGACTTACCATTAATCATTAATGGTAATCTCTTACCATTAGTAAGAGATTCTGAGAAACAGCCTTGATGTTTGGGCTATAAACACAACTAAAGCATAGGCGCTGGCTCAAGGATTCCTTTACTAAGGAACAGTTGGCCTTTACTGCTTTTGTTTTGTTTTGTGACAGGGTCTCACTGTGTAACCGTGGCTGACCTGGAACTTGCCATGTAGACTAAACTGGGCTTGAACTCTTAGAGATCCACCTGCCTCTGCCTTCTGAGTGCTGGGATTAAAGATATGCTACATCACTACCAGTCTGTCTCCCCCACCCCCCTTTGGTGGCTGTTTCCACCCTAGGACTGGGAGTGTGGTTTGAGGGGGTCACATCACAGGCTCTGGCTGACTTGCACTATGAGGTAAGGTCTGTAGCACAGGAACAGTGAAGTCAGAGCCGGAAGCAGTGTGAGTCGGGATGCTGAGGTAATCAGGACTAGAGCCTTGGCTCATCCGTCCTCTCTAGCTTTACACCAGACAAAGAGCTACGCTCTGTCATGTGTAAGCTGCATAACCGTGAGGCTCCACTATTCTCAGTTAAACCCAATTGTTGCTGGTAAACACCCTTTCCTTTATGTCAGCGTGACTTCATGGGCCTTTGTCAGTGGGTCTTTAGGTCATTTCCCTTTAATTGTCAGAGGCCAAAGTCTGGTCTCCCAGATCACAAACAGCCTGTTGAGGAGCAGTCTTCCTGCCTGCAGCAATGAGTGGAGACTGGCCCAGCTACAGCTTTTGAAATAGTTTTCAAAGTAGTGGCTGGAAGCCCAGCAGGAACAATATGACTCAGTTTTCACTCTGCAGGACGATGCTAATCCCAAGCCATACCTTTTCACGTAAAGGTGATCTTCAGTGTTGGATGGGGCCATTAGGTGAAGGAAAAAATCTCCCCCTCTTAAAAATTATCTTAAAAATGTGTATGTATGGCTGTTTTGCATGCATGTATGTCTGTACAGCACATGCCTGTCTGGTACTCAGAGAGGCCAGAAGAGAGCATCAAGGATTGCTTGATCATTGTCAGATGGTTGTGGGCCACCATGTGTGCGCTGGAACTCAAACCTCAGTCCTCTGGGAGAGCCGCATGCGCTCTTCACCACCGAGCCACCTCTCCAGCCTCCCGGCCTCCTTGTCTCACTGTGTAACCCTGGCTGGCCTTCCGACTTGTAATCCTTGAGCCTCTTAAAGTGCCTCTTAAAGTGCCAGCTAGTAGTATGTACTAGCACATACTTTAATTGTGGCACACACCTTTAATCCAGCACCCGGGAGGCAGAGTGAGTTCCAGGACAGCCAGGGCTGTTAGAGAAACTCTGTCTTGAGAAACCAGAAGAAAAAGTATATGCTACTATGTATGCCTGCCATTAAAAATCCGCTCCCTCCGTCCCATGAGACAGAGCTCCTGTTGCAGTCTGGATGAGAGCCCCTGGCCTCTACCACCTTAGTGCTGAGACTGTAGGCACATGCCACTGAAGAGTTTAAGTTCTTGACTGGGAGCTGAATTCAGGTACCAGGAAATATGACAAAATGTGCACTTGGCAAAAACAAAGTTAACTCTCCTAGCAACAGCCTCCAGGAAATATCACAGAATAAATACTTTATAGAAAATAGAGACAATCTTCCTGGCAATAATCAATGAAAATCGGCTGGGAAAATCCTCCCCAATGTTTCAGATATAGTTCAGAAGAATAGCAATTGTGATTGTATGTCTTAGGTAATTGTGATCCGGAGAAGGTCACCTCACCCCTCTAACTTTTACCTAATCCTGTAACATCAAGGCATATGCCCTCCCCCCATTTGCTGTCATGGAAACATGTGCCCCCTGCTTGCTGTCATGGAAACCCCCTGCTCATAGACTTTCCCTTTAAAAATCCTGTTCACTCAGAGAAGGGTCCCACTTCTCTACTGCTGCGCCAGTGAGACTTGGGTCCCGAGTTTGATCGCTCTTGTAATAAAGCCCTCTTGCTCTTGCATCGAGTCGCCTCCTGGTGGTCTCTGGGGTCCCGTGAACCTGGCACTGCACCACCACACTTGGCTATTATGCAGTGCTGGGGAATCAAACCTATGCTTTTCAGCTTGCTAGGCAACCGCTCCTCCAATGGAGCTACACCACCAGCACCAGACACAATTATTTCATTCTGCAATCTCAATGCTATCAGGAGAAAACTACAGTAACTGAAAGAAGAGAACACAATTGCAAAGGAAACCATTAGAAAGTCAATCAAATTTGGATGTAAAAGGAAATGCATCAAGTGTATTCTACTTACCAAGGAAATAAGGACTTGATGTAAGCTGGCTCTGAGGAAGGGATCCGAGGAACCTATTCTTTTAAAGGAATACTCTTCTTTCAAAAATTTTTATTTGTCTGTTTATTGTGTGTGGGTTGGGGCCTTGCATGTGATCACATGGAAAGTCAAGGACAACTTGCAGGATTTGGTTCTCTCCACAGTCTGAATCCCTAGGGACAGCACTCTGTCATCAGAGGTGCTGGCAGTCACCTACCAACGAGCCATTTCTCTGCCCCTGAGAAGCAGTCTCCTTTGCAGTGTTTTCTTCAACAGTTTTTCCACATTTTAGGCCATTAAGGTGAGCTTACACTAAAAGTACACAACTAATGAAATTATACCACAGGAAGTACTTTTAGGGACAAACATAGCTAAATACATGAATGCATCAGACATGTTAGAAAGGAAAAGGAAATGCATGTGCAGAGCCTATGAAGTTTTCAGAGACACTGGTAGTCTGTGTGTCTATCCGTCTGGCTTGTGTTTGTGCTCATCCTTCGTGACAAGCCATTCCCATTTCCGGTTCCCTCTGTTCCATAAGACAGTCTCTATCTAGAATATGAAGTGCTAAAAAGTCAGCTCATAAACATGTTTTTGTGTGAAATAGAAAGTGAAAATTTTACCTCTCATAGGATGTGTCGATGGGTTAAAGCATTGCTGTGACAGGTGGGGTGGGGGTGGGGGTGGCGTCACTGTGTGGAAAGCAGGAGACCTGGAACAGTGGGAGGTCGTCACTGGGTTGTGGGTATGCAGGTCAGTATGCAGCTTGAGGGAGCCTCGCAAGAGACAGACAATTCAAGTTCTTTCTCCAGGTTCTCCAGTGCGCTGGACTGTGGTCAAGGCGGCAGGCGACAGACCAAACTCTGCCACACACAGCCTTTCTGCCAAGGCCCTCACACCTTCAACCGCTCTGCTTTCTTGTGACCAGACCTGGCCTGTGTGAGGCCTGTAAGTTTTAGTGTTTCTGGGAAGCAGGGTGGGAGTTTCCAAACACTTGGTGACTTTTAAAGAGACAGGACTTGGAGTACTTCAGCCAGCCTGGGTACACATAGGTTTGTTTTGTTGAAGAATTAAGTCTTGCTGGTAGTGAAAGCCATACTGCTGCTGTCAGGAGAAAGAACTGGGTAATTCATCAATCCCTGCTCACACCACCTCTCCCATTTTGTTCTAAAATCTCTTGAAAGAAGGATTTGTTCTTAGTCACGAAGGCGCCAGCAGAGGGAGTGCTCCCAGAGCTGAGAGCTGTGGGGTTAGATGGAGCCGGTTCAAATCCCCACATTTCCTTTTCTAAACAGTTTGGGCCTTTTTTATTATCCACCCTCCATGGGAAGGAAACCACAGAACCCTCTGACCTTGCATTCCCCTGGGAAGGCATCACAGCATGCTTTCTCTTTTAGCTAACTGCACTGTGCAGATGTTCAATCCACTGTTTTATCCCAGAGACATTTTTGTGCTGGACTTTAGTCTCCTTGGGTGTTCTTTAGGAGACTTGTTTCTTGGGTTCTGTTTGCTCTTCTGTCTTGCCGAGTGGTTCCCTGCTGTTTGGATCCTTTGGTCAGCTGTCACCCTGGACAGGGACAGGTCCTGCAGTCTGCCCATAGGAACTGGGATGTGAGCCACTGGCCAGTTTGAGTCCTTTAATACCAGTAAAGGTTTGTAAAACAAGCTGGCATTTCTTGCTTTGGGGACATGGAGTTCTGAGCTCCTCCTTGAAGATAAGGAGAGCCCTAAAGTTCTTCTAAGAATTCTGACTCTGGAGGGCCACACCGGACTGCCAGATCTTATGCTATTGCTTCCTTTTCTTGACCTCAGTCCTTTTTCTTAAGCTTTATCGTGTGTGTGTGTGTGTGTGTGTGTGTGTCTGTGTGTCTGTGTGTATGCCACAGCCCATAAATGTAGATCAGAGAACAACTTTCAGTTGGTTCTCTCCTTCTGTCATGTTGGACCTGGGATTGAATTCAGTTGTCAGGCTTGATGGCAAGCCTTTACTTGCTGAGTCATGTTGCCAGCACTCTATGGCTTTTAAAAATCCCTTTTTGAAGTTGGGTGGTAGTGGTACACGCCTTTAGTCCAAGAACTTGAGAAGCAGAGGTAGTTGGATCTCTGAGTTTGAGGCCAGCCTGGTCTACATATACTCACTTATTAGTGGCTATTAGACATATAATATAGGATAATCATGCTAAAATCTGTACACCTAAAGAAGCTAATCAAGAAGGAGGACCCTGGGTAGGATGATCAATCCTCACTCAGAAAGGCCAACAGGATGGACATCAGAAGAAGGAAAAAAACAGGAAACAGGACAGGAGCCTACCACAGAGGATCTCTGAAACCCTGCAGAGTATCAAAGCAGATGCTGAGACTCATAGTTGAACTTTGGGCAGAGTACAGGGAATCTTATGAAAGAAGGGAGAGATAGAAAGACCTGGAGGGGACAGGAGCTCTGGGCCTAGGGGTCTTTTCTGCAACTGATACTCCAAACAAGGACCATTCATGGAGATAACCTAGAACCCCTGCACAGATGTAGCCCATGGCAGCTCAGTGTCCAAGAGGGTTCCTAGTAATGGGAGCAGGGACTGACTCTGATGTGAACTCAGGGGCTGGCTCTTTCATCACCTCTGCCTAAGGGGGAAGCAGCCTTACCAGGCCACAGAGGAAACCAATGCATCTGGTCCTGATGAGACCTGATAGACTAGGGTCAGAGGGAAGGGGAGGAGGACCTTCCATATCAGTGGACTGGGGGAGGGGCATCGGGAAGAAGAGGGAGTGGGGAGGGTGGGGTTGGGAGGGGACAAGGGAGGAGCTATAGCTGGGATACAAAGTGAATAAACTGTAATTGATAAAAAAAATAAATAAATAAAAAATAAAAATAAATGAGTTTCAGGACACCCAGGGCTATCCACAGAGAAACCCTGTCTTGAAAAAGCCAAGCAAACAAACAAATCAAAACAACCCCCTTTTTGAAAGCTTGGGGTAGGGGTGGGTTTGCACACGTATAGTTCTAGTACTTTAGAGGCAGAGGGTCAAAGGCAGCCTTGGCTATATAGCAAGTTTAAGGCTAGCCTGCACTACATAAGACTGTCTTTAAGAACAATGGCTGGAGAAATGACAGAGCAATTAGGAGCACACACTTCCCTCCCAAAGGATCCAAGTTCCGTTCCCAGCCCCTCTTTAGGTGGCTCATAACCTTCTGCTCCAGCTCCAAGGGATCCAATGCCCTCTTTTGGCCTCCTCAGGCACTGAATTCATATGGACAAACCCACACTCAGACACATAAATATAGACATAATTAAAAGTAAAACAGAACAAAAATTTCCTTTCTGACTAATTTACAGTTGTAAACTAAAAATAAGCACATTAAAATGTAAGTAATCGGCTTTAAAGCTATTCTTTAGCTTTGGTTTCATTCTGTATTTCTTTCTAGTTTGTAATATGAGGTTGTCCTGGGTGAGCCCCCAAATGAGAGACAGACTCCCTGGTCGGCAGATAGATGGAGTGAGAGGCCGTGGCTTGGTGGCGGTATTTCAAGATGGCCGACTTCCTCCTCAACTCCCTGACGTGAGATAAAATCCCAGCAGTAGGCTACCTTCTGCCAAGCTGGCCCAACAAGTTCAAGGCTGAGTCAGGACATATCACCCAAAGTTTGGGCCAACCAACCACCCTAATGTGTCTTCAAGCTGACAACCTGCAGAGACTTTAAAGCCCCCAAGCCTGGAGAAGATCTATGTTTTGAGCACAAGCTATAATTCCTGACTTTTTATTATTAGAAACGTCCATTTATTTTTTTATCAAAAATTATCAGTTATTATTTTATTAGAATGATTTAAAATTCAGAAGCTTTTAATTTTAATCTTTACAAATAACATTGAGAGTCTATTGAGATGATATTCCTCTCTTGGCCTAGAGAATTATGCCAACAGCTGTCCTTAAGTTGCTTCATCTTTACACTGAAAATAAATAGTGGGTGGGGAGGTGCTTAGTGGATAAGAGAGCTTGCCCCGCAAACACAAGGACCTGAGTTTGAATCCTCAGCATCCAGGTAAAAAGCAGGGCATGGCTGAGCATGCCTGTGACCCCAGCTTTGTGGGGGCCACAGAGACAGGCAGATCCTGGAAGCCTCCTGGGCGGCAGCCAGCCTAGCCAAAGAGGTGCACTTCAAACTCAGAGAGCCACTGTTCCAAGGGCGTGCGGTGGGCACCCAGTGTTCTGGTCACCTCCTGGATTCTGCACCACACACACACACACACACTCATCACAAACACATGGGTAAGCGTTAGGGCTCTTTTAGCGTGTTGCTGAGTTCTGCTATGCCTGTGTGTGACATACACTTACTGCACACAGTAAAGTCCCGGCTTTCCTTTTTTGTTCCTTCTTCTCATGTTTGGGATCAGGGCTATGCAGGCTTGGTTAAAGGAATTCGGAAGACATATTTTTGTGTGTTCTAAAGTAATTTGAATAATTTTAAAATCTTTTGTTCTCTGAATGCTTTCTCCCCAGTGACATTAATTTGTGGAACCACCTGAAATTAGAATATCTTAAGGTGCTAACTCTAAAAAATTCTTAATTTCCTTTCAATTAATTTGAGTTTTTTCGGTCATCTTTTTATTGGCTAACTAGATAATTTTCTTATCTCTAGAATATGTTCTCCAGAGTTTTCTGTTTTATTTCTCACTTTTCATTTGTAGTGGCAACTTGTGTCTAACTAGAAGCTGGTGATGAAACAGGGACCCTAGAGGTGGGCATGAAGGGTGGCTGTGCAGAAGATACCCCCACAGGCATGCTCTCCAGCCTCTGCACGCTCTTCAAATGAGGGGTTTGGCTTTAATGACCACTAGATGTCAGTCTTGTGCATCTTGAGCTGGCAAAAGCCTTTCTGCTCTTAATACAACCCAGAGCTTAGTAAACTAAAGCTAAAGAAACGAAACTCTATTTTTAACAACATCCGTCCTAGGCCAGAAACAGCCCTTGGGAGGCAGAGGAAGGAACAGGGGCCAAGTGGCTGAGGGGCCAAGGGGGCCGAGGGGGCCGAGGGGGCCGAGGGAGCAGAATGAGGTCGAGGCAGGAGGATCAGGAGTTTGAGGTTCTCCTTATTCAGCCTGAGTACAAGGACAGTGGTCTCTAAACTGTGTGTGCGTGTGTGTACATATCCTTATTATAGACAATTCATTCTTAATACACTTAAGGAGACTTGAATATAATTTTAATACAAATTTTAAGATATAAAAACTGGATTTTTTTCTAAATTTTCTTTTGTGTGAGTGTCTTCTGATATTCTCAGAATTTAATGTAATTTCCCATAAAACTTCTATGTCCTCCATCAGCCTCTCAGAACCTCTTATCCATCCAGTGCCTACTGTTATTGAGAGGAACTATTCTCACTCCCTCTGCACATCACAAGGCACCGAACAGCGTCACAGCGTCATTAGTGATGTTCTTGGTTCTGTTGTGCTTGCTGTCTGACAAAGCACTTGTTTATAGTATTCAGTTGATGTCAAAGGTGCTTAAATATGGGTGATTCAAATGGGAACGGTCCCCGTGGGCTCATAGGTTTGAATACTTAGTTCCCAACTGGTGGACCGTTTGGAAGGAATTAGGAGGTGTGTTCTTGTTGGAGGAAGTGCGTCACTGATATTTGGGATTTGAGTTTTGAGATTTCAAAAAGCCTACAACAGGCCCAGTCTTGCTCTCTCCCTCTCCCGGGATAATGATGTGAGCTCTTAGCTACTGCTCCGGCACATGTCTGCCTGCTGCCCTGTTCTCTGCCATGCTGGCATGGACTCACCATCACAGCAATAGAGCAGCGACTAAGGCACTGGCCAGTGTTGCGTGTGCTGAGAGGGAGTAAGCGATCTGCTCATGGTCATCAGCCAGAGGTTGCTCTCCAGCATCGGCCGTGCCATGGGTGCTCAGGGCTGCTGCAGGCTTTTACCTTTTTGG